GTCTGTTCTGAAACTGAATCCTGGCTTTCCCCACTGGGCAATGGCAGTTTATTCCTGCCTCTTCCCAAAGTGGCTGGCAGAGCCTCTCCGAATCCTGCAACACCCCTGGCTCAGCCCTCCCTCCCAGGGGCCCTGTTGGAGCTGCAGAGCAAAACCCGGTGCCTTGGCGGCCGGCAGCCCCACGGATGGGACTGGACGGGACGGCAGGGGAAGCAATGCCTCCGGAGCCACTCGGGGAGAGGCCCTGCCGCAGCCTCCCTCCGCACGCGCTGCTGAGTAGCAGCGGCTTCAGCCTTTACGATGGCTTGCTCAAATCCAGCTACTGCTGAGCTTCACTACTAACGCCAAAGTTATTACACATTCTGGCGAGTGTCTTAAACACATTGTTTCCTGCTGAGCACATATTCAGCGGTCAAACAGAAAGAGAGGGAAGCAGGAGCGAGCCTGGGGGTGTGCATGAGGGAGAAAGTTGCCAAGGGGCTCTGGGGGCGTGAAGGAGAGCGCAGGGAAGGGAAGAATGCAGGAGCGTGTGCATGGCAGGCAGCAAGATGGGGGGGGACCGGAGGGGCTCTGTGCGTAAGAGAAAAGGTTGTCATTTGTGTGCTTGCGAAGAGAAAGGAGGAACCAGGGAGATAGTTAAGTGTGTGTATATGTGTCTACATGCACAAGGGGTTGGGGTTTTCCTCCCTCCTCTCCCCACAGGCATTCCCTAAAAACCAGGGGCCAAAGGAGCCTTTCAACAAAACGTAAGCAAAGTGAAAGGACAGTGTCCTTTTGGCTTCACCGTCTTCCTAGGAGGGACGTAGAGAAAGGCAGGCATTCAAGCCCCACATGGACAGCACTTCACAGCTAAGGGTGACACACCAGAACAGCTGGGGCAGATGTCCTGCCTTTGTCTCAAATGCATGGGGAGAAATGAGGGCAGGTTTCAAAGAGCCAGAGCCCAGCACTTCATCTCTGGAGCCCATTTTCTTTGGCTCATCAAGTATGAAGAGAGGAAGAAAACCATTCAGACAGAAAAGTCTCTCTGCAGCCATCCATCCCTGCAAGTAATACTTCAGGCTATTCTGCATGCCGACTCACTGCTTGTACCTCTTTCCCCAACCTGTTTGGGAAGAGGCTGCCTCACCAAGGCTGCGGTTGGGGCTCCAGCCCCCCCCCCCGCGTTACCCTAGCTGTCCTCCCCCATGTGATCCATGGACACTGCTTGCATGTAGAAAGGGTTACAGATCCCAGTTGTGATTTCGAGTGTTTGGCCCTGTGCCTGCTGACCTCGTGCTGACAACTCTCTCTTCTGTGTCTGTGCTTGTGTCTTTTCACTGCACCCGCATCAAGCCTGGCTCAGGATCTGGCCTTCTGAGATTGTGATTTGGCTCAGGCAGGGAGAAGGCTGACCCTTTGATTCTGAGTATGATTAAAACCATGCTACTGTAGCGCTAAGCCGTGTGCAACACAGCTAGCAACAGCCCTGATTTATGTTGTTGCTAGTATTGCGGTTTCCACCAGGGTGTAGACAGAGATTTCGAAAATAGCCCAGCTACCTCTTTGTCTGTGTGTGTATTATAATTAGAAATGTGTCAAAGGGCTGTTACGGCGTGAGGGTAGAGCTGGAAACGTTCACACCCTGCCTCTGCCCCCACTTCCACGCTGACACGGTCAGCCCCAGCTTGGGTGTGTGCAGGCACATCAGCTCTCCACACTTCCCGGATTAGACAACTGTATTCCCGAGACCCCACGGGGATGCAGTGGCGGTGACTTCACCGCACAATGGAGAGCAACTTTAGCAGCTTCCAGTTTGCTCTCAGGCTGCTGCCCCCACCATTGTGGCTAAATGCCGACTTTTTCTATTATTTCGATTTCAGATAGGATCACAGGTCTCAGATATAGGCGATTTATTTTCCTAGCACAGCTGGTCTGTCAGAGGTCATATAATTTGGCAGCAATCCCAGTGCTTAAAAATTAATTTTTCCTTATTAATACAACTGGGGGTCCCACAGGATAGGATCCCAGCCTTATCTGAACCTGACAGCTTCCTAAACCCCATGAAGGATGCTTTCTCCTCTCAGGCTATCTGCAATACAAGGCCACCATGTCCTGGAGCCCGGCGGCACTGGAGGTTTCTGCTAGGAAACCAACCCGCCCGCCTGCCCAGAGCAGCACGCTGCTGGGATGGGGAGTGCTGCCTTCTCCAGCCCAGCATAGCGGGTTGCTTTCTCATTTTAACCTTCTAAGACATGCACGAGGTACCAAACACAGAGTAAATACCGGGAAGGGGACTGGGGGGTGAGAAGGAACAGGGCAGGGAGATGGGAAATGCCTCCGTAGAGCCCCCTGGGACCAGTATGCCTGCCTGTCACTCCAAACACCACACACCAGGATTTTTCTGCGGCAGGAAAGTTAGGAAAACAAAATGCAGCATCCTAACCTGGGTCAGAGCCCCCCACTGAGCTTGTATCAGTCGTTTTCAGTGATGCTCCTGACAACTGTCTGATTCCTAGGCTAAAAAAGCTTTTGTTCCCAGTAAGAGCCGAGTTAACAGCACAATGGGCAAAAGGCATTACACTCAATGCTTGTATGGGTGTGTGTGCTCGTGTTTGTATGTGCGCGGCCGTGTGCCTGCTCGGCAGCAATTTGTTTTGGTCCCCCTCCCCACCTTGGTACATGTCCATTACTGAAGATGCTAGCTTTTAAGCAAACTATTCGGAAGGCTTCAAGAGTGAGCTCTGCTCGGAGCTGCATAAACATCATCTGAACAGCTCTGTACTTGGGTCACTCAAATCTGTTACTTTCTTACTTGATTGCTTTTTACAGGAAGATGAAAAACACACAGCCATCCAGGCTTCAGGTTTATCTTCCAGGGTCTCCCACCCACTCCCCTCCATGGTTATCTCAGGGTTTGCTTGGATACATACAAATTGGCAGCTGCACTGTTTATCTCTTACCGTAGAAATATTGCACTAGGGTTTTTTTCCATGTGGATTATCATATTATTGTCTATTAAAAACATCTCCCCTCTCTACTAACCTCCCTTAGGGAACCTTAAGAGGGACTTTCATAATGGGGGAAGGCTTTCAGATACACCAGACTGAAACATAAATCCATCTACCTCTGGCATGTTTTTCTTACTAGGCCGGCTAATTTACTGGAGCTGAGCATAGTCTGACCAAGGCTCACATCCCGTTACCCCATACCTTTGCTCGCTGGGCTAGCAATAAAGTCATTTGACCGGGTTTGCAGCGCCACAACAACGTCTTGGGAAACAGCCGCAGAGAAACAACTTCCTTGCTGGCTCCAACACCATGTGATGCTCTGCTTAGCCGGGAAAACCCCGCGTTCAAATAAACATTTCTTACAGCGACTGAATGGCCTCAGTGACACGGCTGGCTGATAAACCCCTTCCCAGTCAGAAGTCCTGATCCCGAGCCCACTCAAGGACAGAAGGAGGTGTACGCACGGACACAGGCACACACTCAGGCTCAGCAGCCACAGGGATCGCAGCCAGGCCGGCCAGTGCACCCTCAGGAGTGAAACTCAGCTTTCAGCCCGATCCGCCTCAGCACAATACCCACGCCAGGAGACCAGACACTGCCTCTGCACCGGGGACCATCTGAAAAGACTCCTGCGCCCAGCCCGGGCCTCCCAGGACTTTGCCCTTTCTCTTCACCCCATCGAGCGCCTATTCATTTGTTTTCCTATTTGAACAAAAGATGGGATTTTTTTTCTTTCCTCTGTCACCATAAGGAAGGAGGCGATGCCAACCGGCAACTGAATGTACACGGAGCGTGTTTGCCGGGAACGTCTGTGCTTCGCTGCTGCAAAAAAAGAGGGACTTTCTCAGGAGGCAGAGACTCTCCCACTTCCCTTTTCAAGGGGGAGCTGGTGGCCATGCCGCTCCGGGGCAGGGGGAAAGGCAGGGACCCACGGACGCACACCGCGCCTTGCCATCTATCGCTGCCCGGGCCAGACGGCGGCTCGGGACCCTGCGTCCCCGCGGGCTGTCCGAGGCATGTCCCGAGGCCCGTCCCGAGGCCCCCACTAACGGGAAGGGAAGCCCACGGCTCAGCAGCTGCTGCCTTGGCACCACCGTCCCGCCAGGCAGCGCCCGGGCTGCTGACCGCAGACGGAGCCCCAAGAGAGCGGTGGACGGCGGGGTGAGGCATATCCTTTTCCTCCAGGTGGGGACCCCGCTGCCTCCGCTAGCCGGAGCCAAAGCCAGTGGCCGGGGAGCAGAGGGCCCAGCCTCGGCCCGCCCTTGCCCCTCTCCCGTCCCCAAGCCGAAGCAACGCCAGCACCGCCGCTTCCTCCCAGCGCCTCCTGACAGCCCAGCCTAGCTCTTAAGCGAGGACCAGAAGAACACACTCGCGCCCCCAGACCTGCCACGAACCCGCCAGGTCCCGGGACGCCCCGGCGTTTGCAAAGTTAAGCGCGGGTCCCGCGCGTACCGCGGGCGGGCTTTCCCGGGGGGCTGCCCGGAGCGTGCCTCCAACGGGCGGGTGCCGCCACCGCCGTCAAGCCTCGCCCGCTCCCAGCGCCGCCCTGCGCGGCTCCCGCCTGCCTGCTCCCTGCCAGATGATTCTCATTTCTTACCTAAAGTTTCCCGAGGTTGCCACCGGGCACGGGGCCGCGGGCGTCCGGATGCGGGCGCCCGGGATGCGGCTGGTCCCTACCGCTTCCCCTCCCCACCCCGCGCCCCCCCCCCCTTCCAAAAAAAACCACCAGCGCGCAACTTTCCAGTGCGGCTCCGTCCCCTCGCCCCTTCACGCCGGGGGGCTGCGCCATCCCCGCCACGCGCACGAGCCCCCCTCCCCGGACCCCGTACTGCGAAAGCTGCGCGGCAGCCGCCGATCCCTCATTTGTTCCCTACGCGATGCCCGAGGCCGGGCAGAGCCTCTGTGCGTGCGCCCGCGGCCGCGCACGGGCACCCGAAAGTTGGGCGGGCGGGGAGGGCTCCCTCGCCCACGCGCGGCCGGGGGCATCCCCCGCCCCGGGGGACGCCTTACCTGTCTCCGCCGTGCCTCCGGAGCCGGGCAAGCACAGCCCTAGAAATCCCCACGCGAGAAGAAACGTATCCATCCTTCGGAAGAAATTAATAAAAAAACAAACAAAAAAAAAAAAAAACAAAAAACCACCAAAACCGCAAAACCAACAACCAAACCACCCGAGGCTGCGGGGCCGAGCTTCGCCTCCCTCCCCCGAGCGCGCCGCGCCCCGCGTGGGCGCGCC